TTCCTCCCTACGCCTTCACTCCCCTCCAACAATAGATACAACCCGCCACAGCCCCAGATCATCTTAAGAACCCCACACAAACTCCCACACATCTGCGCTGCTTTCCCAACTACACTGGCTCTCTGCCCACGATCGCTGTCTGTTTACATTTCTCACTCGCGTCTACAATTTCCCTCCAAGCCCCACACCTTCTCCTGTTTCTCTCGTATCTAATTGTCCCATCCAGTCCCCTACTCTCCTGCGCTCAGTCTCGCACTGTCGTTCGTTTTACCTTCTTGCTCCCTTTCGCTGGAACAAAACTCTCATTGCACATAAAGCAATGTTCTTCACTATAACCAACCCCCAACTCTTCTCCGGAGCCCATGCTGCTACTGCTACTCCCTGCCGCCCCCCCCCCCCCCAGCTACGCCAGGCCGACCCCAACCCCTATCACTACCCCTATCACTACCCCTATCACTACCCCCTATCACTACCCCTATCACTACCCCCTACCACTACCCCTATCACTACCCCTATCACTACCTCTATCACTACCCACTACCACTACCCCTATCACTACTCCTATCACTACCCCTATCACTACCACTACCCCTACCACTACCCCTATCACTACCCCTACCACGACCCCTATCACTACCCCCTATCACTACCCCTATCACTACCCCTATCACTACCCCTATCACTACCCCCTACCACTACCCCTATCACTACTCCTATCACCACCCCTATCACTACCACTACCACTACCCCTACCACTACCCCTATCACTACCCCTATCACTACCCCTACCACGACCCCTATCACTACCCCTATCACTACCCCTATCACTACCCCTATCACTACCCCTATCACTACCCCCTACCACTACCCCTATCACTACCCCTATCACTACCCCTATCACTACCCTATCACTACCCCCTATAGCTACCCCTATCACTACCCCTATCACTACCCCCTACCACTACCCCTACCACTACCCCTATCACTACCCCTATCGCTACCCCTATCGCTACCCCTATCACTACCCCTATCACTACCCCTATCACTACCCTATCACTACCCCCTATAACTACCCCTATCACTACCCCCTACCACTACCCCTACCACTACCCCTATCACTACCCCTATCACTACCCCTATCACTACCCCTATCGCTACCCCTATCACTACCCCTATCACTACCCCTATCACTACCCCCTATCACTACCCCTATCACTACCCCTATCACTACCCCCTACCACTACCCCTATCACTACCCCTATCGCTACCCCTATCACTACCCCTATCACTACCCCTATCACTACCCCTACCACTACCCCCTACCACTACCCCTACCACTACCCCTATCACTACCCCTATCACTACCCCTATCACTACCCCTATCACTACCCCTATCACTACCCCTATCGCTACCCCTATCACTACCCCAAAGCCCATCACTACCCAGGGCCCCCATCACTACCCAACCCCTTCCACCTGCCCTCCGATCACCATAACCTCGGTTCTTTCGGTAAAGTGACGTAGGCATTAAATAAATAAATTAAATCACGACGTTTTGGGCGCAACACAAGCGTTCGTCATCAGGTGTGACAACCACAGCAATAAACAGTTGTTGAAGTGGGCAAAAGGGCTGCTGTCACCAGAGGCTATATAGGTAAGAGAGGGGGGAGGAGCCAGGGAGGAGAGATAGAGAGGGGGGAGGAGCCAGGGAGGAGAGATGGAGAGGGGGGAGGAGCCAGGGAGGAGAGACAGAGAGGGGGGAGGAGCCAGAGAGGAGAGACAGAGAGGGGGGAGAAGCCTCTTGTGACAGCAGCCCTCTTGCCCACTTCAGCAATTGTTTCTTGCTGTGGTTGTCCCACCTGATGACGGACGCTTGTGTTGTGCCCGAAACGTCGTGATTTAATTTATTTTATATCTACGTCACTTTACCGATAGAACCAAAGAGTATGGATCCCTGCAGTCACGAAAACTTCAAATCTAGATTGTCACCATAACTATGAAACAAAGATCTCCCATTTAGCCTTAACAGACTGTAGGGGCAAGTGCTGTTAGCGAGTACCTATAAAGGCCAGCACGGCACACGAGGGGGTAGGTGGCTAACACCACTCCCGGCCGCCTTTGTCTCCCTAGTGAAGATGTTTACACATCGCACCAGGTACTCATTTGAGGCTGAGTCGACCTAGGGGAGGCCCGGGACAGGTTCAGATAATCGTAACTGGTGTTGGCCATGAGCGGGAATCGAACCCGGGTCGCCAGGTTCATAGCGCAGCGTGCTAACCGCTACACAATAACTACACCACCACTTTCAATAACACCACTCTTTATCTCAACCACTATCATCCCATGATCACTTAAAAAAATATATTATAACGATAAGATGATAATAATGACGGCGATCATGATGATGATGCCATGTCCGGAGCTGGACACTTTGAGCAGACATCAATCTCGGTGACGTCGTCGTTGTTGACGTCAAGGGATTGAAGGTCACGGTTACCGTCCACGGTTCCCTTTCACGTCGTTGAATGCAGTACGCGCACACGTGAAAGGAACCTATCGCTCAATGCCCGCGTGCATCGCGTGTCGTGTGAACGCGCAGATCTGCCCGTTTCAATAAACCCACGTGACGTCCCCGAATAATGTGTCACTTGCCCGCGGCTTACAGCAAAGGTGGCCGACACGTGAAGCGCTGTGATCCATTCTGGTGGAACTTTATGGGTTTTTACAATGCACCAGAAAGCTATGGCCAACAATAATAACCTGAATGTAACCCTGTCATGTCCGATCGCCACGGTGGCTGGGAGATGTTAACTACTTCGCCCAGTATACGTCGTGGATTCCATCCCGACCCTAACGATGCCTGCTGTATATTTGGAGTTTGCGTCTCTCTCTCCACGGTGATATGTTAACGACCTCCCTCGGTATACAAGCAGGACCGGATTAGGGCATGGGCTTGAGGGCTTGCAGCCCAGGGGCCTCCGCCAGCTGGAGGGCCTCTCAGAGATTAAGTGAAAATTCATTTCACTTGTGAATGCTGAATTTTGTTGTTGTTGTTAGCCTTGTCAAAATAAATTTTATTTTTCTTTAACTTTGTTTTCCTTTTGAAAATATTACTGGGGGCCTCACAGTACCTGTAGCCCACGGGCCTACACAATATTTATCTGGCCCTGTATAAGGAGGTCATGGGTTCCATCCCGACCCTGACAATGCCTGCTGTACATTTGGAGTTTGCGTCTCTCTCTCTCTCTCCCCGTGGTCGCGTCGATTTTGATCAAGGTCGTCCAGTTTTTCCCCATCCACATTTTATAATAAACGTCACTCGTTCAGAATATTTGTCTGGTGCTATAGATTCACACACCATGACGATATCGGCCACTTCGTCGAGCTATCATTTGTGATAGCCAGGTCGCTTCTGCATGAAGAGCCACATAGCTTAGTGGGCCTTGCCAGGTGAAATAAAACAATGATAGTTTTCAGTAAATGAGTGAAAAAATGAATGTATGTTTATCTTCTCTGTGTCGTGACTAAAACGCGTTTTCATGTCCTGCCCACATTGTTGGTGTGTGCATAACACACAAAGCTTCATGAAGTAGAAACTTGCCATTATTTTTTTTACGCGTCTTTAAACCTAGTAACGAGTCGAATCAAAGCCTATAACAATGCATATTTTAAAATAAACTCAACAACACGTAAATACGTACAGACTGTAACGAATTATTGGGGGGTGTTCCATCGCAAAGAACAAAAGAGCCACTCAGTTCAACCCGTAGGCTTTCGCGACGAATGTGATCCATGATAAAAAGCCACTCGGTACGTTCGTCACTACAACAACTGTGTCCTTCCTTCAGCGCACGTGAAATAGAGCCATTGACCGAAACGTCGTCTATAATATATGAACATGGCAATTTCCTGCAACGCCGTGTATCGTTATACAAAGTAAATATTAGTCGACGTTTCGGGTGATTACACGTCCGAAGCAGTAGATGACGTGCTATTGACGAATGCGTTCAGTTTGGTATTGAGTTCCAGTAACCCTGACAATGTCAACAACAAGAGCAGTGGCCCGAGGAACAAACCGAGCACACCCAGACACATTGTGTAATGCTAGGATCTTGATTTATTGTGTATCATGAAATAATGCTCACCGACTCGGTAACCCCCCCCCCCCCCCTCATTCTTCCACTCACCCCAACCTCTCATCCCCCATTAACCTAACTAGTGACACGACATGGCTGTATCGCGTTCGCCGCCTGTTCCAGAAGTTCGTGGTTCGAATTTAGCGGCTGGCCTGGTTATTATGGCTCGGACATGTTAAATTCCTCGATCCCCACCCTGACACCTGGGTTCGATCCCGACCTTGATAGCTGCTCCTGTTTATTCGGAGTTTGCGGTGTCTCTCTCTCTGTCTCTCCCCGTGGTCACGTGGATTTTTCTCGGGGTCCTCCGGTTTTTCCCTCCAAGCTTAGAATCAACGTCACGGGTTTAGAGTTATTTGGCTACTGCTGCAAATGTCCACGTGATGATCAACCACTTGGTTGAACTATCATTTGTGGCCTGGTCGCTTCCGAAAAAAGAGCTATATATAGCTCACCGGACCTTTACCTGGTAAAATAAAATGAAAAGTTTATAGTTTATTACCGCTGTGTGCATTAACCCAAAAATATGCGACTTTGGGCCGTCTGCATCGCTTCAAGTGGACGCCAAAGCTTTCCGTGACGCCAGACGCACCAGTGTGTGTAGCTGGCGGCGTATTCCACAAATGCCTCGCGCGAAGTACAACAGAAATGTCACCGCACCGCAAACTGCCGGAACTGGAATCCACACGGGAGCAGCCAAAGCGTCACTTCTAAAAAATACTGCCAACCCCAAAAAAAACGCTTGGGTGGAACCTCTCCTAAAAACCTGTCACGAGACTCGGCGAGGCTCTCGTGAAAATTACACCCCCCCCCCCCCCCCCCACGGCTCACTCAGTCCCTAACCAACCCCCTCACCTCATCCACCACCGCAACACCACCTGCATGCCCCCCCCACACCCCCCGTAATGTGAATGGTGGACGGGATGTGGGGTGGGGGGAAACCTGAGGTTCTTAAGCGGGGAGCCTCTCACCTCGCATCACCCACCACGAGTCTCGCGCCACGTACCAGGTGTCTCGCGCGTTGAGAGTCTCACGAGCCACGCGTCGTCTCACGAGCCAGGTGTCCTCTCACACTCCAGGTGTCGTCTCACGAGCCACGTCAAGCGTCTCACACTCCAGGTGTCAGGTATTTCACCCACCAGGTGTCACACACGTACCAGGTGTCACACGTCAGGTGTCTCTCACACGTCAGGTGTCACACACGTCAGGTGTCACACACGTCAGGTGTCTCACACGTACCAGGTGTCACACACGTCAGGTGTCTCACACGTACCAGGTATCACACACGTCAGGTGTCTCACACGTCAGGTGTCTCACACGTACCAGGTGTCTCACACGTACCAGGTGTCACACACGTCAGGTGTCTCACACGTCAGGTGTCTCACACGCACCAGGTATCTCACACGCACCAGGTGTCTCACATGCACCAGGTGTCTCACACGTCAGGTGTCTCACACGTCAGGTGTCACACACGTACCAGGTGTCTCACACGCACCAGGTGTCTCACACGTCAGGTGTCTCACACGTCAGGTGTCTCACACGTACCAGGTGTCTCACACGTACCAGGTGTCTCACACGCACCAGGTATCTCACACGTCAGGTGTCTCACACGTCAGGTGTCTCACACGCACCAGGTGTCTCACACCTACCAGGTGTCTCACACGTCAGGTGTCTCACACGTCAGGTGTCACACACGTCAGGTGTCTCACACGTCAGGTGTCTCACACGTCAGGTGTCTCACACGCACCAGGTGTCTCACACGTCAGGTGTCTCACACGTCAGGTGTCTCACACGTACCAGGTGTCTCACACGCACCAGGTGTCTCACACGTCAGGTGTCTCACACGTCAGGTGTCTCACACGTCAGGTGTCTCACACGTCAGGTGTCTCACACGTACCAGGTGTCTCACACGCACCAGGTGTCTCACACGTCAGGTGTCTCACACGTCAGGTGTCACACACGTACCAGGTGTCTCACACGTCAGGTGTCTCACACGTCAGGTGTCTCACACGTCAGGTGTCTCACACGTACCAGGTGTCACACACGTCAGGTGTCACACACGTACCAGGTGTCTCACACGTCAGGTGTCTCACACGTCAGGTGTCACACACGTCAGGTGTCTCACACGCACCAGGTGTCTCACACGTCAGGTGTCACACACGTCAGGTGTCTCACACGTCAGGTGTCTCACACGTCAGGTGTCACACACGTCAGGTGTCTCACACGTACCAGGTGTCACACACGTCAGGTGTCTCACACGCACCAGGTGTCACACACGTCAGGTGTCTCACACGTACCAGGTGTCACACACGTCAGGTGTCTCACACGTCAGGTGTCACACACGTCAGGTGTCTCGCACGTCAGGTGTCACACACGTCAGGTGTCACACACGTCAGGTGTCTCACACGCACCAGGTGTCACACACGTCAGGTGTCTCACACGTACCAGGTGTCACACACGTCAGGTGTCTCACACGCACCAGGTGTCACACACGTCAGGTGTCTCACACGTACCAGGTGTCACACACGTCAGGTGTCTCACACGTACCAGGTGTCACACACGTCAGGTGTCTCACACGCGTTAGGTGTCTCACACGTACCAGGTGTCTCACACGTCAGGTGTCTCACACGTCAGGTGTCACACACGTCAGGTGTCTCACACGTCAGGTGTCTCACACGTCAGGTGTCTCACACGTCAGGTGTCTCACACGCACCAGGTGTCTCACAAGTCAGGTGTCTCACACGTCAGGTGTCTCACGTCAGGTGTCTCACACGTCAGGTGTCTCACACGTCAGGTGTCTCACACGCACCAGGTGTCTCACAAGTCAGGTGTCTCACACGTCAGGTGTCTCACGTCAGGTGTCTCACACGTCAGGTGTCTCACACGTCAGGTGTCTCACACGCACCAGGTGTCTCACACGTCAGGTGTCTCACACGTCAGGTGTCTCAGCCGCACCAGGTGTCTCACACGCGCCAGACGTCCTCTGTGACATCGGTGCAGGCACTGCCCAGGTGTGCCGACGCGCGGGGGTTGATGCGTTAAGCCCGCGATGTCCTTCGGCCTTCACGGTTCGCCGTGCAGGAAGCGAAGTGTCTCGTTAGCGGTCAAGTTGGGGACCAGCGTACCCATTGACGCGCGTTATAGGCTGCGGGGCCAACGTCACGGGGCTGACGAGAGCGGGACATTGTTGTACTGCACCGTCTGTTGCTCCGCACCTTCACAGCGACCCCCCCCCACCACCCCTTCATTGCACGAACTGCGTGGTGCAGTTATGGTGGGGTGGATTGGACTAAACTCGCACTTCTGAAAGACGTTTTCAAGATGAAAGTTACATCGAGTTTTCAAGCGGGGTACCTATGTATGCGTTGTGGCTCGTGGAAGCTGTCGCCTGGGGTAGGTGCGAAATTCCTCGCTGCCCCCCCCCCCCCCCGTGCGCCGTGTCCAGTTTTATAGCGGTGGGGGGTTTCTCTGGCTTAGATTTTTCTATCCCCGTGACCCGTGACTCCACTCTCAGTTGTCACCCCCCCCCCCTCCCCCCCAGTGGGAGATACATCGCCCAAACTCTGGTCATCCTCGCAGCAGCAGTGGCTTTTGGTTGACCATCGAACAAAGACGGCGATCACCGTATTATCGCGCGCATTCAGACGCGCTTCTGCGGCCGTCTGGAACGCTCTTCCCTTCCGATATCAGGAAGCCACTGGGAGCTATGGCGCCTTTAAATCATCCTGGAGATTGACAAACTCGTTTATTTAGAACTGCATGTGGTTGTGTTTAGTTTTCTGTCCTTCCCCCGCACCTCCGATCAGCACGCTTGGCTAGGTACGTTAGGAAAGAAGTTCAGCATACGTACATGCGTCGTAGACATAAAACAAGTTTAAAAATAGTTTTAATGTTACCAGGTAAGGCGCCACTGAACTATGTAGCTCTTTGTCAGAAGCGATCTGGCCACAGACGATAGTTCAGCGAAGTGGCTTATCGCGTGGAAATGTTTCGCAGCCAAATACTCTGAGCGCGTTTTTTCTAAATGTGAAGGGAAAACTCGGAGGACCCGGAGAAAAATCCCCGCCACCACGGAGAGAGAGGCACGCAAACCCCAAACATACAGCAGGGCGTCAGGGTCGGGATCGAAGCCACAACCTCCTGTATCCCAGGCGAGGCAGTTACCATCTCGCCACCGTGGCGCTCATGATCGAGGTTTTCCGGTTCCCTCCTGCAAGAAGCCAAACACGCGTTCATGGAGTTGGCCAAACATCCCAGATGTAGCAGCCAGCACAAAGGAGCAGGGAGACTCAGTTGAGGCTTCCCGATGAAATATTCATCATGATCAGGATAATATTATATTCTATTTCGGATTTACGTGGCGCCATTTTCCAGGATAATAATAGCATGATCGTATTCAGATTGAATTCGTGTATATAACATGATGGTAATATCGGCTGGTGTTTGTTGGACGATTAGTCTCAGTTCTTTGTACAGACCCATGTATGTTGAACTTATTTCGCACCGTACGTAGCCAACCGCGCTAATCCGAGATGCCGTTATGAGATGAAGGCCTCCGTCACGCCCTGTAGGCCACGGGGGTGGTTCGGCTATACTTCACCACTCTGGTCAGTACAGTGTTGATGAGATTCTTTTCTATATAATATCTCGCCACGGTGCTGAAATGTTAACTCCCTCGCCTGTTACACAGGAGGTCGTGGGTTCGACCCCGACCCTCACGCCTGCTGTATATTTGGAGTCTGCGTTGTCTATTTCTCTCTCTCCCCGTGGCCGCGTGGATTTTTCTCCGGGTCCTCCGGTGTTTTACTCCACATTTAGAATGAACATCACGCGATTAGAGTATTTGGCTGCTCCAAATTTCCACACGATGATGAGCCACTTCGTCGAGCTGTAACTGATGATAGGTAGGTCGCTTCTGAAAATAAAAATCGAATAGCTCAGTGGGCTTTGCCTGGTAAAAAAAACGTAGTTGTTTTTGTAATGTGTTTACCTTTCCTATACTTTACACTGCTTTCGCGTTTTTGTATTGTGTTTGTTATTGTAACTTTGTGACCCGCCCCTACTGGACAACTGTGAAAAAGAGCTTTCTAGCTCATCGGATTCCTCCCATGAAGGTCGATATAAGAGCAACTGTTGAGTCTTATTGTTATCTTAACGTTATTCATATATCGCCTTAACCAAGGCGCTTCACATAGAATTAACAACAACGCGCGTGTGTGAATGTGATGGTGGCTAATGAGGTGAATGAAATTGATGACAGGAAGCGATGGGGGCGAATCCGAGATGATGATGATGATGCGTGATGCGTGAATTCGGTGAAAGCGAAATTGATGGCAGTAAATTATGATGATGGTGAATGGATTCAATGAATTGGGTTAATGAGTGATAGCCTTAGTCATGAAATGTGAAGCGGAAACAGTAACGGTGGTGGTGGTTATGAGGGGGCAGATTAAGGGGGAGTCGTGGGGGTGAGCTCGAGGTAACAATAAGTGAACTTTGAGTGAAGAGCGGAAACTTAGTGAGCAATTAGTAAAAAAATAAAATAAAAAAAATCACGACGTTTCGGGCGCAACACAAGCGTCCGTCATCAGGTGGGACAACCAAAGCAATAAACAATTGCTGAAGTGGGTTGTCCCACCTGATGACGGACGCTTTGTGTTGCGCCCGAAACGTCGTGATTTAATTTATTTTATTTAATACCCACGTGACTTTACCGAAAGAACCGAAGAGTATGGATCCCTGCAGTCACGAAAACTTCAAATCTATATTAGTGAGCAATTGTTTGATGTGGAGGGGGAAGTTTGTTCCAGTGAAGGGGGGGTGGGGGGCAGCGAGAAGAGAGAGAAAGCGACAATGTGGATTGAGCACAAGGTGAAGGAAGAGAGAGAGAGGCAGCAAACATTGAGAACGTAGAGGGAGAGAAGGAGACACGTAGCAAGATACAAGAGTGGCAAGATACGGTGGGGGCAAGACCGCGAAGGGATTTGTAGACCAGGGTGGGGAAGTTGAACAGGCAACGGTAGTTTCGGTTGTTGAAGTGATTTAGCCAATACGAACGCTTTTCCCGGGAGTTGGTGGATCGCAGAGAGCACCAAATCAATTTTTTTTGCGTTTGGAGGAAGTGTT